TTCAGAGCAGAAGGGAATTCTGGATTCCAGAACACAGAACATCCGCGAATCAGCATGGGCAATGCGCACGATTTGATCCGTGAGGATCGACAACGGGACCTAACTGGTAGAACTTGAACATAGTGCCCACGCTGCTCCGATCGATCCATTCCGATTAAAAACATAAAGGAACAATCGTGTTGCGAGTTAACTGAACAGCAACATGTATGCGAACACGATTTTTTGATTAGTTGATTTTCGAACCCATGTTTAATGCTGAGATTCTACAGTGCATACTTCTGACTGTTGAGTAATGCTACTAAGGTTCGATAAGCGTCGGCAACAGGCAACTCAACACTGAGAAGGTTTGGCGGAACTGCACCGCTGTTCTGTATTAGCTTGCAATTCTTACCAGCTAATATTCAATGGGACTCGAACTCAGACACCAGTCAGAAGCGTGACCTAAATTGAACATCAGAAGTGTGTTTCACTTATATACCGCAATAGATGTGAAAGGTAAAGGCAACTAAAAGTAGTGACTACATTTCAGCAGAATATCAAGAAGATCACTTAGTTTTAGAATTAGGTAATCAATGACTGATTCATTTATCCATCATTCCACAACATGAAGCAATCCACCACCTTTGATGAATACGATTTAAGTGACTGGAGCAAACAGAATTCTGTTGATTTCGTGATGATTGGATTATGACTGACAGAGCGGGAGTGCATTTGCGCATTCCAGGCAGTCTCAGTTACCAAAATGACAGTATTTGTGGTCAGTTTTACTATCAACTCAACGACGATAACCACTTGCGATACATTGCAGGTTGTTTTTTATGTAGATTGAATGATTCGAATCGCCCTGAAAAAACCGGTTACGTAACTACGATGGGTGAAATCAGTCGTCAGTTCAGCTATTCAAAAGAGACTGGTGACCAATTGCCAACCATTCGCATTCGCTTTTCTCCTCGACTACGGTTTATATTGACTGACAGAATAACTCGTGCTCACCTTACTCAGAGCAATTTCTCCCCGAAAATCTGTACGGTCTCGAATGAGAATTCACCTATAACCGATGAACATCTAAGCCACGTTTTCTACCCCTGTATTCGATTGCGTGAAAAATACCGTTACAAGATAACAACACCGTTTAGGTGTCATGCAATTGTCCTATGAATATAGAAACTAAGTGATTAATTACTCGAGGAGTGAAATTTGTCGTAGAACGAGTAAAATAAATGCCAACTGAAAGTGGAGAAAGCACTGCGCAGCTGTTTCAACTTGTTGGGATATTATCAAAAGTCGAATTTCATGGTCTCAACTCAAGATCGAACTCGGATTACGAGCAAGGGGCAACTGAACGAACCGTTTCACTTTATCTAAACACAATTTTCATCTTTGACATCTTACTAGGAGTCATTAACGTCACTCATATTCCGCAGAATATTGTTATAGTCACCATTTACAGACTTTAGGTTGGACCATTTTAAATCGGGGATTCCGGTCCCATTCGGTTTCACCTAAAGAAAAACAAATGCCATTGTGAACAGGCGTGTTCTCGATCATTGACAAATTTATAACCGATGGTAGCTTCAAAAGATGTTCGATCATTGTACGCCACGTATCGGAAAAAATACATTTAAACTATTAAAACGCAGAGCAGTTTGAGTCTATCCACCATCTAGCTGGGTCCGAGAGGACACAATTCTATCACAGTACCTGGTGATTGTATCTCCGTGGAACAGCAAATCTACCGGTTTCCAAACTCAAAAGTTCTCTGTGATGGAACGATGTTTTTGTATGTCAGCAGTTCGTGTAAAGTGACGGAGCAGACATACACAAACTGTATCGGTAAAAACAAGTACCTGATAGACGTCCGACAGAGCAAACCGCATCTGTTTCTAGTGGCACTGGTCATAATCACACACACAGAGAGAGAGAGAGACACGGACATAAGGACAAAACAAATCTCGTCTAACGATGTTCAACTTAACCATTTCGCTTGAACCGAATATTGGAAAAATCTGATGCATGGGTTCATGCAACTGCGATGAGTACTTCGGTTGTGGTTATCTTCAAACTAAACGCGAAACAGATCACAACAAGAGCATTCGACAGTCTGCTCCGATGCAAAAATACATCGATTCCAAGCAACGACACACGACTAAGCCATGTAACTTAACCGAACTAACACCGTCTGACAGAAACAGACACATTTGGACAAATAAGCTTGCACAATCCCCCTACCAAGCGGAAGCAACTGATTCGATTCAATCTCCTTTGTAGAAAGCACGATCACTGACAGTGGATTGTTGAAAGTGCTATACTGCGACAAACGGGTGCATACACCAGCATGCCTATATATTACACCAACTCCAGGTTTTCCCATCGTTTCATAGCCGTTGACAATCGGTCAGTGGAACACTGAGGAAACAGAACATCAGTTTAGAATGTTGTTGCAGCTGCGCAAACAAGTAATGGATTGGATTTCGCCCGCTCCAAATGACATTTAACAGACAATTGTACTGTGAAAAATTTCCGTTTGTCTATTTCATCAACACAACAAGACATAACTGGGCAGAATCGATATTGGGCGTGGCCTTGCTGGTGATTACATCACACTTGATGCAGCAATGTGTGACATGAACTTCCCTCCGTCTCTCCCTCACCCACATTCATCACACTGTTTGAACAAGTTAACTTTTCATATCTAATGATGACCTTCACCCGTAACCAAACTCAAATCACACAACTCACTTGTCCGCAACCTTGCTCAAATCAGTCATTTCCATTCCAATGACTTAGCCTGACATGATCCCATAAATGTGCGTTTACAGTTAAATGAGAGGACATTTTTCAGGTCGATACATCTAGAGTTTTGAAAATGGAAGTGATGTTTTTATACATATCCGGAAATTCCCCATTTGAGTAAGAAATCTCGTGACGCACGTCAAAGCCAAGAAGTCCAGCAACTGGAACTGACGTGAACTGATGGGGTACGTGTGTTTATTGTGCCCTAGGCCGATGCTGCTGCACCACAACCAGTGGTTATCAAAAGATCATCGGATCAGGTAAAACGAACGTTAAAGGCTACTAAACGATGATTATTCGCTTACAGACTACAGGAAAAGCTGTAGTCTCCCAAAAAGAATTGTAGATGTCTGAAATCAACAGCAGAAACAGGCTAACTGCATCAAGATGTGATGGGTCGGGTAGAAACAACTGCATGTAAACAGACACAGGCAAATGGCTTGTCCGACCAATGACGCTGTAAGCTTTGGTAAGCAGACAGGTATACAACAGCTGTACAATGATCAACACAAATTTAGTTGACCCGATTTGCGCAAGCTGCGCAATCTAGATACCTGACAAAGAGGCTCGGGTGACTAAGGTGACGACCGCCAAAAAGCGAGTCACCCTGACTAAGATGGGCATAGACTCAATGAATAAGCGGTTGCGGACGTTCCTTGACAGTATTCGACGATTTGGTGGCTTTACTACTAGAAAGCACCACATTTATCTGTGGGCAAAGCAGAGGTGTGGTGAATGTGGCCCACCACCAAATAAGGTAATTGCCTTCTGCCGAGTTTCAGTAATCCGACAAGGTTCTTTTGTGGAAGTGAATGAAACAAATAACTGGCTCGTCTTGAACAAAAATCGCAGTATTGCATTTCGCCTGTTTGCCGAGGTTTGTAATTTGCTTGCAAACCTTTCACCATCAGCCGAGGTGAGATCGTCAGTGCTTGTGAAGTGGCAGCAGTACAGTAGCCCACAACATTGACATTTATGAACATTCTTGCCCTAATGAATCCGCATTGAAATTTTTACTCCATTACTTCGAACATTTGCACACCGTACACATCTCCCTGCATCTCCAAGTTTCCTTTACTCCCCCCCCCCCCCCACTCTACCCACACGGATTAATTTACATCGCAAACTTCAAGTACTAACAGTGGTGCCTTAGATTGAAATTCTGATCCTGTTAACTCGTTTTTCTTTCCGAATTCTGTATGATCCTTTGCATTTGGGGAACTAACTTTCTTCAGTCCTGGTGGCTGACATCCCCTTAGACATAGTGCTTGTACTTTACTTCCGAAACTTTAAGAAGTACACGTGGTTCCCGTTTCACTTGTATGCTTAACTTCTTCATCGTTTTGTCTTGCAATCGAACGGAAGTTTGTTTGGCTGCCATATTCCTAACAGGAATAATCCGATTTTCTGCACCGTCTAACTGCGGTCTGTATTCGCCAACCATCTTCACCGCTGCATCACAGGTTTCTGTTGACTCAGTTGATTAGGGGCTATGCCAAAGCAACTGCAGCACATGCATCAAGTAAACATGGCTCTTTCTGATCCTTAATCCCCAAATTAGTTTGAACTGAACGATCAGCCGCTTCGGATAAGGGACTAGTCCGGGGGAGCTATTTGAACGAAATCCGGAGTTCTCTTACGGACTACTTGCGCTGTGTTTCGGAGCAAATTTTCTGCTAGCACTCTGGCTCTTTGAGCGCTAAATTCCCCTTCTTGACGGCTCTCAGGTTATAATCTTCTCGGATGGCCATCATCTCTTCTGTTAGTTTCTTGAGAACTGCCGTAACTCCTGTAGACTGGCGCCTAGGACCTTCGGTTGACTGGACAGATGCGGCTTTCTTTCTGGTGAACTACCACAAGACACCCGCCAGTTTGAATGCATCCACGGTCTACCGACATTGATAACCCGTGCCATCTCCCGTAAGTCTTCCGGCCAGCTATCCTTAGAAAAATAGAGGAATGATTCCGAACACGCAGAATCATCCAAGGTCAGAAGCGCTCCACCCAACAGGGATCGCACGGCCACGGCATGCGACAAGGGTTCCACGACAACCCCGAGTTGTGCCGTCCTGAAGCACAGTAATGCCTACCGGCGTCGGCCACGGTGTCTAAGCCCGATGCCAGAGTGTCCTTCTCGGCGGGCCACTTCATCTTCTTCGTGCCGCATCCAACGCGTCTCGCACACGNCCTTCAGAATGGTCGCCGATTTACCCCGGTCCGTTCGTATCCCCGCCAGTTCCGCGACGTCCTCGAATTCCCCCAGGAAAGTCCGCACGTCCCCATCCTGGAAAGCGGTAGGCCATGGAACGTTCATTCTGATCCTGGTGACGGCCCCACTTGTTGTAATTCCATAAGGTGGTGTCAAAGCGAGAATTACTTATTGCGAATAATGGAAGGGGTATCGGTAAATTGGCATACATACAACAAAATGTCGCATTTGCAACAAGTATTCTGAATTCCCACAAGCACACAGAATAAATAATGGAACAGTCCGACGGTAGATGCGCATTTCCCGTAGTTACAAAAGTGAGTCCTACAATCCACTCGCAAATTCTATGGGAATCGAATAACCACTTCTTGATGTGTGCAAACAACTTACAATTGTGAGTAGTACCTTACAACACTACGATATACTTACATTTATATATAAGCAGTACATGATCCTCTGAGTATATTAAGCCCCTTTTTTACGAGATCATCTGAACTAGCTCAAACATCGACAGTTGAAATGGATTTATTACAGCAATAAAGGTGGGAAATATTCCACGTACCGACGATTTTGCGTGTTTTGAGTGCACAGGGACAGTAGATGCTGCAGGAAGATTTGTCGAACCATTGTCGATTCCGCGTTCTTCTCCGAACGGTAAATCAATTCAGATATCACACGTATCATCTCTGAATAAAGATGAACGAGAGAAAGAGAAAGGCAGGGAGGGAGATAGGGAAAATGATGGATCCGAATAAAACCGGGGAATCGTTTCTGGAGATTACTGTGATAAGGCTCATACTGATGTGAACAATGCTGAGCAAACGAAACAGCCCTACTTAGTACGAAACCGAATGAAATACCCTGATGTGTCATCTATCAGTCCTGTTTCAGAAGACAGGGGTTTACTTAGGCCTCCGTAAAGTTGTCTAAGGACATAAGTGTAATGAATGACCTTTTCTGAAATAGCAGTAATATGAATCCACTGCAAGCAAAACGAGTTTATGCATCTCAGCTTCTTACTGGACCACATCTGGTAAAAACCTGAACTAATAGGAGATACTACAAAGATGAGGTTCTTGCAGTGTATGTCCTGTCGGACTTTAAACCATCAGATTTACGGTCACGTGGGTGATCATCTTAGTTTGAGCAACCGCCCCATGTTCGTTACTAATCGCTTCGGAGGAGGATTGACCTTGACGCACTACAAATTTTTCTATCAAGCTTTAACCAAGACTCGATGCGAAAACTTTAGTCACATCATTGTGGCGGTCACAGGCTGCACTACATGTTGGTTGTAGAAGATTTAAACGATGCGCCCGTATCGTCAGACCATTGGACACATCTCGTACAGCTTCAGTACTTCCATATAAAATGCGATACTTCTGTGAGTGAAAAGGTCTCACATGTAACACAAACGGTACATAGTTTTACATTCACAAGCCCTAAAATAATTCGAAAAGTAACACCACGAAAAGTAAATGCTTACCCTTCCGTATCTCCACTTTATATATATATATATATATATATATATATATATATATATATATAGGGTCTTTCATCAGTAGGAAAACAAGCTATTGAACTCGCTTAGTTGTTGCATGCAGCTATTGTTAAGATGGAAAACTACGTTAACCCTAAACAGTTCGCGTTCTTGGAACTCAGTGACATCGCCTCAACCCGTTCAACCCAACCTCTGGTATATGTGTGATTTTCAGTGCATGTTCAATCCAAGGGCGATTGCATTACGTATGTGGTGGCACCTTACACATAGAAATCAAGATGAGCCGTGCACTTATCATTGTTTGCAAAACCATATGGCGCTTATACTGAGGGTACTCATATCTCTCTCTCACTGTGTGTGACACAAAGCAAATTTCGGTGACAATGGAGTCAGACATCGGTATTGATTGAACACAAAAGTTCCGGGNGGCTGTCCCTCTGCACTAGGTCAGACCGTCTCATTTCAAAAACTGGCCTATCGAATAACGCGTATTGCGTAGCATTTATTTTACGTGTGACCAGCTGACTCATCCGATTACCAATAAAAGGAAATTAGCCGTCGTAACCTGCTAATTTTAGCACGTGTTTATTGGCAAAATAATGTCGTTAGGATCGTGGTGGTTGCGGGAATATAGCAATTGACTCGGCTGTCCTGGTGCAGATCACCGTTTGGGAAGTCCCAGTGACAAAGATGAGGATTATACTGTTTGAACATTGCAAGTTCGACTGGGATTAGTTTGATTGGTACTGGACGTATGCTAAACAGCAACTCTACTTTCGGGAGTTTTTACAACGTGCCAACACAGGTCAGGAGCCATGATGAATGACCAAGTCAATGACAGCCGAGGCGATTGCTATTCATTTTTTAAGGCACAAACACGCTGGTTAAACCACTTACACTTCAATGACCGACAGCGGACCACGTCATTCATGTGCGCAGTTGGGACGTGGACTAACTAACACCGGTTACATGACGCGCTGCAATCTGAACAAGAGAACCCGAAGCACGCTGTGTCATTAAATTCCTCTCTTTTATAACCGTGAATTTACTTGAACAGTTTGACCCCACCACATTACTAAGCCGTGATTGAAACGGGTCGCCAATGGAATCAATGAAAACATGCGTACGCTGATACATGATGTTCACAAAAACGATGCAAAAAAGTTTGAAAACCACTTCAGTCTGGTGAGTCTGATATAATCAGCAACGATGTTCCTGTGTAAGGTGATACAAGTTTTTGATACTTTCTCAGGAAACCAGGAAGGGAATTCTGAAACGACTAAAGGCCGGGAATCTGGAACATTCAGCGCTTGAAAAAATGCCTCGTCAAAGGGTGTCTTTAAATAAAATAATTGTAATTGAATTATTAGATCTTTAATTAGTGCAAACATGGAGGTAAATCCAACCACGCAATTACTACTACTACAGGACGATCAGTCTGGTTTTCCGAACGAATAGTGGGGCGAGGGGGGGGAGGGGTACTTTGCAATGATTTATGTACAGCAGAATCAGCACATTATATCATACATACGAAGGGTGTGTGAAAAACAATGCCACGCTGGCAGTTTAACAATCGAAGTTCAAGGTGCCAACGTGGTCAACAGCAGTTAAACGGTGAGTATAAAATCGAATCATTTCTGAAGTGAGCCACAGAGACATCTCTGTGATCGAATAGATCGATAGCTCAACAGTGCGCAATGTCTATCAACCCCCAGTCTTGTGTTCTACAAATTTCACCACCACCTAGAGGCTAAGAAGACAAACAAGAAAAAATCGGGACAGATATCAGGACACTCTGTCGAAACCACCTGAGTTAAAGATGAAGACAACTGAAAATCGGCGGATGTAATACAAAACGTAAACGTATTTTGATGACTAATGTGAGAACTGGATCAAGAGAAGAGAACAAAAATGAGTAGATCACTTTTTGCATTAACCCCAAAAGCATCTCTGAGCTAATGAATTTCCCAGGTGGCAGTGCCGGCTGATAAGTATAAGTCATCAGCTGATGACTTACACTTATCAGCCCATCATCTCCTGCACCAGTACGGTTCCAATACGATCAGCGTCGATTCATATCACCGTGCACCGATTCTCCTGGAAACTTGATTGTACTCTCCTGGTTTAGTAAACTATTGAATCTAACAATAATATTACGATTTTAACTAATACTATGCATACTATGCAATCGTGGTCCCAAAGATTATTCGATCGTAGTCTAGAGTTGGACTACATTCAAGAATTCTTAAAATTGTGCAGTAAATTAAGCAATAGTGGCAAATGGAATAAACCAACCAGACGGTGTTTTCAATCTGTGTACTCGGACCTGTATGAGACCACAGGAACATTAAAGAAATCTGTTATTCGACGTGTGTATTTCAACAGCGTCTGAGGTTGAAATTATGACTGTAGATGGTAGAAATGAAACTCCAGCAGTGATTTGTGTATATATATTCAGTGAAGTACCTTTTGACCTGGTGAATAAACCTTTGAGAGAATTTTTTNTAAATCTCCCTTCAAGTTGAGTGACACATCACCGTTGTGAAATAAGTACGCCGAAAGGGGATTGCAATCAAGGTAAGGTTCACAGACATTGAGTGGTAAAGTAAATGATGGTGACCGGGACCCAACCGACGAATGATGAAGGAAAGAGTGGGCAGACAACCTATACCGCCATTCCGCTCAAACGTATTCAACCCCAACCAAGTCAGAATTGGGATTAGGATAGTCCTGTGGCCGACCTGAAATACGGCTCCAGAAGAACAAAAACGGTACAGCAAACAGCGATTACGACTATATTAGCTGACTTTGATGTCGGACATCGCACATAAGCGCGTTTATTCGAGCTTGCTTCTGAACTAACAACGTAATAACATCCCTGGTAGTTACGCCCATAACAGCTGGTAAATATTGAACCCCGCGCACGCCCTAACGGCTGTCAGGACAACCAATCCACTTCAGTGGCTACGTGAGTTGCCGGTGGCAACCAGCCTATCACCATCATCATCATCAACCTCACGTACCGTATCCCCCTCTAACAACCAACACTGTCTCATTCATTCTAAAACAACATACAAACGTGGACAAACAAAACCTGACCAGGCACACTGCAAAAATTGGATAAAATGGAAAAGCGAGACATTCCAATCGATCACCGATATCCAAAAAACAGTGATCGTAAACCACTGACTTATCGGAAAAATGTAACATTTAATTATTGACACACCAATCACGATACGGAGTTGTTTCGACACGAGGTTAAGTGCAGGCTCGACTTAACGCCGGTACCACCTTGTAACTCTGTTAGATTCACACAGACGTGATATATTCGGTAAAAGGAAAATATTAGAAGACAGATCACACAGTTAGACACATCACCAATCATGGGTAAGAGTTTGTCATAGTTAACTGGCATTTGTAATGAGAAAAAATCAATTTGATTGCACTAAAGCCTCCTGGATTCAGAGTCGAGGAATCAAACGAGGATCATGAGCCCCGGGGGCATCTCGATGCGCGAATGGACTAATTTGGCCACCGGCAATTATTGGACTCCGACTCGGTTCACTGCGTTGCGGATCACAGTTTGGACAATCTGTGCGGGTCTCTTCGGAAAGCCACATTGGACTATCAGGGTAATCAACCAGCATTGTACCCGCAGTCGAAACTTTAACTTCAGAGCTTCGACTGTTATTATACCATATTTTCATTCGGAATATACCCCAGATTCACACAAGGGGTATATATGTATCAACCACTGTGTATTATCTGTTCTAAACCGAGAGCTTCATCGTCCACCGGAACCGAAAGGGAAGAATTTGGACACCCCCTAAATTGAGCAGCCTTACTGTTTGAAAAATGTCAGTTAATGAAGGTAAATGGAAAAGAACAGTTGGGAATGAAACGTCCTAAAACCTATGCGTAGACAATGACTGCCAAATACACTTACGTGGTTGTTGGATAACTGTGTCTGCAGCAATAAGACTTTTTGGAGCAGATTGTGGTCGGGAAGAAATGGAGTTGATGAGGACCTGAAAAGATAATGTGGAGCGGGTTTGGGCGGATTAGAATAACAGTAAACACGAAAGAGCAGATGTTTATGCAGTGAACTTCGTCATGTAAAGAGCCAATGAAGTGTACACAAAAAGCTGTGAAGCACTGGGCAGTTGCTGCAACCTGGTTGAATTCTATCAGTAGTACGAATCCGTCGACCCAACTGGGAATCCAACCTGGCACCTCACAGGTAGAACAGAAGTATATTATCCATTCAGCTACCGGGCACCTGATCGGATTGTTTTCCAATTTCCTTCTGAACGATATGGTACAACTCATCTTGGTAAGCAGGCATCACACCTCATCCATCTGTGTACGTACACATTGGGTTATTTGACAAACAAATGGTAGTAACCGAATTCGCATTGACTTCATGCCTGTTTGCCTTTGCAATTCACTCCGACATGCCACATTTGTGGAGAAAGGTATCAATGGATCAGCCATAAGATCAGTCTTTTGTTTACTAGAGTATTCAATAGTTCATGAATAATCATTTAGGGAAACGTCAATTCAAGTATTTGAGTGTGCACGGCACTATACTGGAGCCAAAGCGTTTGAACAAAACACGTTGGTGAGTCAAACAGCTCAATAAACACGATTTGTACATACAAACAAACAAACCTCAAACAGCGCGTTATAGGTGACCACGGACAGATTAGGGGCTACCGCGTGTAGACGTTCAACCATAAGGTCGAACAGACCATATCGATCCATGAGATCGTCGTATTTGCTTTGAGGGAAAAAAGAAGAGGGAGGAGGGAGGAAAATAAGGAATGTCTGGCCAGATAGGAAAAATGAATAAAGTGCTCGTAGGAGACGAAACGAAACCAAGAGACTCCGCAACACCTAACAGGAGTGGTATTCACTAACTCAGCATCGAAAACTTAACTAAAATAGACAAACCGACCAATATGTCAGCAAAGAACCAAGCGAATTACATTAAGGAGAATAAACTCATTCGTTTTTTTTTAACAAGCAGATACGGTTTTACGGCATAATGAGTACCACAAAACGATGATTAAACCACTCCCGAGTACATCGATACATCAGTCTAATCTCATCCGGTGTACAGATAGCAACAAAACTGAAAGCGTAGTTAAACTCTGGATGTATAGTGAAGTGATGAAGACGGTCACGTTCGTCCAGTAAACAGTTCTTTTTCTTTGGGTTATACGTGATCATGAGGTACATGTGGGCTACAAATCATTGCTACAGCGCTGCTTTGTTGAGAGACGATGCCAAACTTCATTTAGTATGCGCCAGCGATAGGTACGACCCCGACGGGTGATACGGCTTTCTGTTTGTACCGATACCAAAGACAGGTAACGAGAGGTTGTTAACGAAAATAGAAAATACATCTACAGGTCCGAGTGATAGCAGTCGTTCGCGGATGCGTAGTGAATGACTCACTGGAAACTGTTTCCGAGAGATAGCATCCGAGAAAATTGGTATGCTTTCTCATCCCCTGAACATCAAACGAGACCAAGTATTTGCTCTTCTGACCTAATTTGTATCAACAGTTTAGAAAATCTTTCAATTTGTTGACTGTTCTTTTTTATGCAGGGGCGGTAACTCGACAGACAGATTATACAGCAATCGCATCACTGATTCTTATAACCAAAGACAGTTTCCAACCTTTAGGCCTCGATTTGGAGGGCGGGCAGCAGAAGTTAACTTCTTCGTACTCCATCTGACTGCCCCCGGCTGAAGCTATCGGAAACTGTGTACAACGATTAACTCGATTATACAGCGAAAATCAGCACCCGACGCACAATAAGAAAAGCTCGTCGTTGATCTCCGAAACAGCATAGTTTGAAATAGGAAAATTGCGCACACACATTGAGTGCGGTGAGATAAGCCAATGGTCTTATATAGTAGAACACGGAATTAAAAAGAAGGCATTTGAACAGAATTTTAACCAAGAGAATGAGCTTCTGATTAGTCGAAGATAATACAGATAACAAAGGTCCTAGAACAGAAGACAGAGATAGAATATCCGTGAAAGTTAAGCGCAAGGTTCGGGATCCGTCGAAATTCTCTAGTGACCGTAGTGGAGGGTGCGTTGGACAGGGAGTGTACACGAGTGCGAATACTTACTGAATCCGGGAGAAGTGTAGATGAAACCCGAGCAATTTGATCGCATACACCCGATTACTCTCATCCAGCACGGACAGACGTTTGAAAGCCACGTGCAGTGCATCATTACGTATGAAGGTTGAGCCGACCGCGTTCGGTGTGTCGACCAGGAGGGTGATCAACAGGTAGAGAACATCGTGCAAATTCTCATCCTGATTACGTATATGTGATAGATGGTGTATAAGGAACAGATAAGTGGCATCTGATTAGCATTGGTACAACCGAGCAGCGATTGAGGAGTATCAAAGGATGAACTGATTAGAAAGAACATTTGTGAGCATCTAGCAACGCTAGGACGCTTCAACAAGGTAAGGGAGTTGGATACCTACTAAGCATGTAGTCACGTAGTATTTGTACTATAAGACCATGTTTGAGCTTAGCATTTGCTTTTATTTCTTTAGTCTGTGTGGATTTACCCTAGCTGAACAACGGGTCACTCATACGGTGTTTTACAAACGTCTTTCTGAAGGCGCGGCAACACTGTTCCAGGGAGAATTTCGCATGACTCAACTTGAGCTGGCTCACCAGTAGACACCTTTTCATACGGCTATTTTCCATCACGAAAATATCATGATGCAAGGCTGAATACAGAAGATAGCATGGTCGCTAAAATCCAAAAGATCAGTAACACATTTTGGTTAGATTTAGCAATCAGAGTACCAAATATATGCAAACGAGTTCTTTTTTGTAACTCCATACTCAGGTCTAAAACATATAAATGTATGTTTATACATAAAGAGAACGTTAGAAATTCCATTGGTAGGTAAATTAGAATTAATTTGACCTAAATAACTCTTAAACTGTGGGGCAGAGGTCATGGCTGTGGTGTTATGTCGACCTATGTGTAATAATCTGTGTTACATGTTCTGACGTCATCATCGCGTGACAGAAGTCACGATCAGATCAACTATCTAGGTCAACTCGAAACAAGAACAGCTGAGATGCTTTGACCAGTTTTCTCTGTACACACAATGATAGGTTTAGCAATATAACTGCTACCTACCACTTCCGATATTGCTAATTGGAGCTGCCGTTCGGACTTCGATCCACTCAGAGGTACTCGGTAAATGACTCTGAAATTATCATTACCAACTTGATGTCGTTTCTCTGTGATGTGGGTTACCACTGTGCTAGTTATTGTTTTAAACATTTAGGGATCAACTAAGCCAGCCTATTTTCTGTGATACTCCTCTCGCTGTTGGACCTATGAAACTTACCACACAGACATTATTATTTCCTTATTTTCATAGACGTCTGAGTTCAGACTGTGTGCCAAGCAAATCACGATATAAAAATCTTTATAAAAAGAAAAGAAGATCCATGATTTGCTCGAGCGTGTGATATTGTTGGGGTGTCCAGGATAAAGCAGGTGAATTTTCTAAGGGAATTATCAACCGGAGCCTTCGGTTGACCAAAGCCTGACCCGCAAGGCAGTGGGTCAGCTTAGAAACAGAACAACTCCTTGCTAACTATAGTCATTGTTTTTCGATGATCAAGGTCTTTCAATGATGTACTTCACAATGAACCGTTTGAAGCATCAGCTTCTTAAGCGTGTGCTTCGTTCTTTCCCGTTCATCTTCTATGGTTGCATTTGAACGGAATCGGTGGGCTCTAGAGGCGAGAAACCATAAGAACTTTATGGTGTACTCGAAAGAGATGAAGTTCAGGAAATATTTGTACTGACCGTTCCAACTTGGTTTGTAGAAGATGCGACGGTGTTTTTCCCATCTCTCTTGGATAACTAACGGATAACTAAGCGACGGAAACAGAATAAATAGTTAATTTCAAGTTTGCGTACGATGCTAAGGATATTTCAGACTTTCCCTGGGATTGAGATTACATGCTGAACGATATGTTTGTTGTTTTAAAGTATATCATGTGCCTATTTAGACTAGTGTATAGTATGGAAAAACAGTTCAAGACAAAGAGCCCTACGGTGAATGCACATACCTCTTCCACGACAAGCAAATAGTTTAATAGCGCTTGCATTTCCGCGTCCAATAAAGTGCCTTGACGAGCGACCAGCTGTTTCAAATAAACCAGAAGATTTGCACGAAGTTTCAGCACCTCTTGAGCCGGTCTGAGGGGTACTTTGTCTGAAAAGTCGTGCACAAGTTTCGGGTTCCGGATGACGGAGGTGTGGGGAATGTTTAGAAAAAAGGGGAATGATCCAGATTGTTGAGAAGGCTGAATCCGAGATCACACGTTTAAAGTGAATCTGCTGTTAAGCGATATATATGGTGTGTGTGTGTGTGTGTGTGTGTGTGTGTGTGTGTGTGTGTGTGTGTGGATGAGAGCCCATTGATCTGAACAAGTTATTCGGTCAGCACATTGTGAGAGACGAAAAGGTATCAAGCGCGACTAAGCAAACTCACAAAAAGTGCAATAACCTGAAATAAAAAATAGGTCTTATCAGCTCTTAGGTAGACTTTGAGAAGATGAAGCTTTTGGTAAACTTGGTCAAACGGGAAAAAAGGCACTACTGACCCTGTCAGTGACTGAAGTTCAACTCTTGGCCTGCAGATCAAGTGTATCTACATTACACGTTTACTTATGCGGAAGACGGCCATATCCTTTAATAGATCAACGTGAATGATCACACTAGGACGATAGACCATTGAAGAAAATAACAGGAGGTATTTTGAAGACTTGAACAGCTTAGGCAGGACTGAAACACCTTAGGCGTCGACGTGAAGCTTCACTAAAAGTGCGTCACCGTTCGATCAGTTTCGTTTAACGGTTGCGACATCCAGAATTTGCACGTAAAAACAATCATCGATCAGAGGTTTTCGACGAGACTGCACCTTGACGTAGTGTGATGGCCTGTGCACCTCACTGACCAAACGGGCTATAAGAGATGGCTTTTGTCTAGCCGCAGATCTAATCACGCTTGGAAGGTCAACGGGTAGAAGTCAGACGAAGTCCTCCAAGTTGCGGGTTCGACGTAGTTAGCGTCTTAGTCGGCAAAATAGTAGAGCAGTAATTGATCCAAATAAGCGGGCCTCTACATCGCTTTACCCACTGCATTGCGGTTAGGTTCTTGTTAGAACTTAAGGCTTTGGACGAGAACCCTATACGTTCTCCTGTTTAGTGGCTGGACACCCTGGTAGTACCCGTTCATCAAACTCTAATGCATATGCAAACAAAAATTAATTCCATGCTGCATCGGTCGTCGCGCAGGATAATCAGGACCGCGCTGCCCATTGCATCGAGCGGGGTGGATAGTGATAAGTGGGCTAATGCTCAGATATCCCAACCTTTGTTTAACTCTTTGTTTTCCGCACCCAACCCACCTCCTTTACCCTTTCTTCCAACCCGTAACATTCTCTCAGACAACTTGTTCGTCACTCGCCAAAGTTCGTCGCCAAGTAGCCCGGTAAGTAGTTTAGCACAAAATAGATTGTAGGTTCTGAAGCCTCATCACTCACAGAATCTGAGAGCCTTCAACGCGAGGACTTTGATGCCGATTGGTCAACAAGCGTGTCTGGACTCTGGGGATTGATGTTTGTTGCGTATAGGAGACGCGAATCCAGGACTTTAGTACTATAAACCACTTAAGTGCACCGGGATTGTCTTCGAGGTTCTTCCTCCGCGCGTCAGGTGATGACGAAGCCCGTTCAGCATGTCAGCGTGGTGTGGGCATTGTACTCAATAATAAAGCCGAAGCTGCACTACTCGATTGGATCCCTATCAATAGTCGTTTATGTGCGATGTGGTTACAAGGGTCCATCAGAGTCCGGAAGGGAAGCAATACCAAAAGGTATCTGTTCATCATTTCAGCGTATGGAAATAATGTGGAACGATTGTAGCTCGGGATGTGGACGTTGGTGGTGGTGTATTCTCTGAGCTGGGAGTGTTGTTCGAAACGAACAACACTCCGACTAACTGCAGTTCGGAGGCACAAAAGACAACTTTTATGATAAACTCACAGAACTCATTCGGTTGAGTCGAAGCTCCGGTATAGTTGTTCTCACAGGAGATTTTAACGCTGAAGTTCGAAAACTGAGCGCATCGCAAGCTTGCCTAGGCGGTCAATGTGTTCTGCCCTTCCAGCGAACAGATAGTGGCGATCAACTTCTTCAGTTCTGCGCAAATCATCATCTGTTCCTAACCAGCATTAACTTCCGACGCAGCTCTCAGCGAACAGCAACGTGGCGCTCCAATTTAACTGGTACGCTAACTGCGATTGACCACATAGCAGTAAGCTACCGTTGGCGTGGCTCAGTACAAAACTGCAAGTCCTATTGGACCACCCGTGTTGAGTCTAATCATGCGTTAGTGTTGATTCAGTTCACCCTCCAACTCACTGGTTGCAGAAAATTCCACCAAACTCGATTGGCAAATCATCGTTTATCTTACCCAGCCGTTCGTGCCCGTTTTGAATCAGAACTAAGGCAAGAGCTAAACGCTCGGCGGGGTGGTAGTGTAAATAAACAATAGGATCAGATTAACCGAGCAATGCACTCCGCTGCGAGAGTTGCTTGTGGGTCTGAATCAGTAGCCCGCCTGAGGCATTGGATATCTGATGATTCAGTAGCACTGATGGAGGAAAAGCGGCAAATCCCCACCGCCCGGGATCAAGGCAGGGCTAGGTGGCGTCTACAACGTCAACTCAAGAATAGTCTCAAGAAAGATCGTGAGAACGATAGCACGATAGAGGGGTAACGATAGCAAGAAATGGAAGTCGCAGCTGCATCGCGGAACAGTCAAGGACTGTTCCAACTGATACGCAACATCGGAGGTCGGAGAAACACAGTTAGTGAAACAATCTGCGACAAAAGTGGACAAGCTATTCACAATAGGGAACAACGGCTTGATCGGTGGGCGGAGTACTTCAGCAGTACTACTGCAGCAGAAGTTCGATCGTGCATCCAAGCCCTGAAGAAAGGAAAAGCAGCAGGGCCGGACAGGCTTCCTCCCACTCTTTTCAAGTTGGGAAGCGATGACCTCGTAGACTCCATTAGTGATCTAATGCGTAACATCTGGTCACATGAGCGCAGTCCATCATCCTGGAGCGAATCACTGATCGTTCCAATTTTTAAGAAGTAATCCCGCAACAATCGCGTAAACTAGCGTGGAATAAGTTTGATCCCAATAGTCACCAAATTACTAGCTCCCATTATACTTCGACGTCTGACGCCGTTCAGGGAGACAAAAATCCGCGAACAACAAGCAGGATTTCAACCAGGCCGCGGGTGTGTCGATCAAATATTCACCCTGCGTCAAGTCCTCGAGCTATGCCGTAAACACCGTCGGTCAACGGTTGTCGTGTTCATCGACCTAAAAGGAGCCTTCGACTCAGTTGACCGCGAATCCCTTATGGGTTCGCTCCTTCGCAAAGAAATGCCGAAGAAGTATTGTATTGTATTTGTAATTTGTGTAAGCATATATGCTTACACTTCAGTTAAAAACTCACATTGTTCGTCGCGCAGAACGAAATAAAAATTAATAAAAACGAAAGATAAAGAATGTCGGTGATATACGTTTTCATGTAGTATATGAACATATTCAGGTCACTCTACTCACATACTTCTGGTAGCGTAAGGGTCTACGGCGAGCTCAGTAGGTCGTTCGTAACTAGCAGCGGTGTTCGTCAAGGGTGCCTTCTTTCGCCATTCCTGTTCAAGTTGATCACNACTCACATTGTTCGTCGCGCAGAACGAAATAAAAATTAATAAAAACGAAAGATAAAGAATGTCGGTGATATACGTTTTCATGTAGAAAACATTTGACGTAGTATATGGACATATTCAGGTCACTCTACTCACATACTTCTGGTAGCGTAAGGGTCTACGGCGAGCTCAGTAGGTCGTTCGTAACTAGCAGCGGTGTTCGTCAATCCCTGTCCTCCTTACACATTATCGCTTATCTTGTATGCGTTATGAGTTTGGCAGCGATCAGTGAAGTTCGCTTCACTGTATTACGCTGTACAGTGATGATGATGATGATGATGATGACTTTCCACCTTTCATTTTGACGTTCAAGGAATGAAGATTGTTGTAAATGGATGAAGCCAAGGGAAATGATCCTGAACAAAATCCAGTGGCGCGATTGCTGCCTAACCGCTGTGTTTAAAGAAAGCATACAGCAACCGCAGTGAAAACACAAACTGTCTTTCTTTCTAAACTGTTCTCCCTCACCAACCGTTGGTAATGCAAACGCACTTCATTACTCTTAAACAGCCGCATTTAGTACTTCCTTTGGCTGAAAATTCGTGCATGAATCAGGTACGACCAATGACTCTCGGATCATGTGTTGGTCCAAATTCTCACTGTCAGTCTCTTGATCCGGTTTGAATACAAAAGTGTATACGCCTCAAAAACGGCTAAGCCAAAGAACAGGCCGAAAATGATGAGCATAATTGAACTTTCAAAACCCTCGTACGTTAAGACAGGAATTTGTTCACACTGCCGTAGTTCAAATCGGCAAACAAGCTAGACTAAATTGAGTAATGCACAGAAACTCCACCACGAAGAACTGAAACTAGGCTATATGATCAAGAATCGTGTAGTAATGGCAACAAGCAGATGCACAAAACCGAAAACAGTATCCTCAATACCTTAAACGGAGTTTTCGATGTAATCTTTATAGGTCGGTTGTGATCATAAGATAGTTCATCTTCCTCCCTATGTGGTTTATTTTCATTCGTGCTTGGTAGCAAATATTAACCCCAATCCGTCCCGTTTGTCCCATAATCATTCCAATAGACATCTCTCGTTTCTGTTTGAAGTGCATAAGACACAATGAACGCACGGGCAAAATTTTAAAATTGCATGCCACAAGTGATTGAACATCAGGTCCAAATGGATCACCGAGTACAGAACCCGCAAGCATCTGGTAGGTTAAAGCCTGTGGTTAGAGAATCAGGCGGGGTCCCATAAGTCAGTCAACAGTAAATTTACTGAAAAAAATGACGTAACAGTCCAACAGCAGGTACTCTGTACTAACAGCTTGTAAACTAAATGCATTAGGCTTGTTTTC